GACTACTCCAGGGCACACCTTTCCGCAGACTGCAACTACACCAAAAATAAAACGAGCAGAAAACGCTATGAACCACCATCTTCGTCTGTACAACAGCTCATTAATTATTTGAAGGTAAAAAACCTAAAAAAGAGAACGAGGCCATTGATTCACTTTTCTTGGCACATGCACAGACTGTGAAAACACTTCCCTTAAAGCGTCAAGCCCGAATAAAACTAAAAATAGCCGAATTAATAGCGCACGAAAATTTGAACATATTGAAGAAATGTCTTCAGCGTCTACCCAGAATTCTGCAAGTATGTATGATAGTAGTATGTCGTCCTTCCCAAGCGGCACTGGGTTTACTCCAATAATATACCCAACAGAGGAGGCAAATTCTGCCTCGAATTATTAGCAACATTTAATCCTAGTGGCAACATGTAGTCCAATTATTACAATAAAATATTTATTTCACGATCCCTGAAGTTTTCGTATTCGATAAGCCTACTAATTTAATACATATAATTTTTTGACCTGAGTGTAATAGCAAGTCGTTCTTCTGGCGAAATAGCTTCACGATAATTGTGTCAGATTTCGTATTTCATCTTTCACCAAGTTCAATATTTCATCGAAACACTCTGGAGTCATTCTAAAATATACGTAAAAGCGCTGTTCATCCAGCCGAAGTTGTGGCATCAAGGTATGGTATTCCCCAAATTTATTTCGTTCCAAGTTAATATCATGTACCCACTTCCTTCGTTTCCTAAACAAAATTGAAAATATTTGTTTTATGCACTTCGTTAAACTTAATACATACCCAACTATCAAATGGCGTTAAATAAACATAACTTACCGTGCATTTTGTTCCTCTTCTAAAGCAAGAAATAGAAGTGCCTCCTCTTCTTCTGAAGACGAGCTCATTGCAAAAGGCAAAAATAAAATGTACGCAACCTGTCGAAACCTTCACGTTCGCGGAGCGAATAAGACGCTTTGGTATGAATAAACAGGCGAAACAGATTGCGAATTTCGCTCTGAATTTCGTTGCGAATACTTCGCCGCGATTATTTCGCGCCGGTTTGTGGGATGCTTTAAGCTGTAGTACAAGATTGTTGCATCTCCAAGCAGTGATAACCTCCAGGTCCTGTGTTAGAGAGGAGTTGCTACCATTCTTCATTTTTCCAGCTCACCCGAGAGATCGACTTGTCGCTCTGAATTCCATGCATGCAGAGTGCTGTCATCAGCAAAGCAGTGAATTTGATTAATTGTAATATGCCATGTGATAATACATTTACGTTTACTAAAACTCATCTCAATCTGTCTTTGAAAGTGAAATAACAAATACACCTCGTATAATGAAAACGAAACATTTCCGGACCTATCTCCTACGTTTTGACTTTACGGTTCAAATCCACCCGGACAGAATTTTTCTGGCAAGATTATCTAACATCGCTAAGTATTTGCGGCTAATCTTTGGAAAATGCACACTAAAACGGACGTATATGGCAATGTAAATGAATCTCATCGATTGGTGGTTTTTTGAATAATAATTAATTGCATAGCCAACTAACATCACGATTAGTTAATCGTTTATGACTAGGACGAATAAAAATGCATTCCAAACTCCAAAGAAAGTATCGTCAGCGTTTTCAAGGCTTCTGAAAGACCATATCGTTACTCTGCATCTTCCCTTGTATATAAATGAATGGGAGAGGAATGCTCGGATATGTATAATGCTATACAAATGTATAAAGATTGTATCAGTCCACTGGATGTTCTTTAGCACTGCTTTGACGTTATCTCGGTGCATTTAGTACTGCATAATTTATTATGCCACGAGCGTTTCAAGGAAGACGATGCCATTACCTTGACCTAGAAGTTTATAGGGTGAATTTCAAGAAGAGGATTAGGACAAATTTGGTAAAACATTTATACACCAAGATGGTGTGCGTTACAGGATAGTTTTTATCATAAAGATCGTAAAATATATAGTGTTCAAAAATGTAAGGTCTGTCACTCGAATCAGTGATATACAAAGCAGTAGGTACGTACCAGGTGCTGATAATAAACTGTCCCATATAGCTTCCCTACCTAGAGAAAATCACTGCAATAGAAAACGATCTTTTATGAATAATAATTTGAAGCATTTTGTACCTATAGTTTGATGACGATATAATGTCAACAACGACACTATATATCTCAAAATAAGCACGGATATCTAGAATTTCACAAAAAAGAATGTATATTCGCATTTTACAACATAAATATATGGTAAGTGGAGAGGTTCTTCATCAATAGATACAAATCACGGGTGTCCAGCGGTAAAGTTCACTTTTTGATTTAAGGAAAAAATACAAACTTAACGAAAAGAAAATATTTATTACTATCAACATATTCTTAAACTCGGCGGGTTTTATTTCTTAAGTATCATTCCGACCAAATGTTTGCGATACCGTAGGATACACTCTTCTAATCGCGCGCGCAAATTCTGAAACACTGTTGTCTTTGAGCTCCTCTAGTGCTCGTGAATTATTGGAGTACACCTTTGACTTTAGATAACCCCACAAAAAGTAATCGCATGGCGTGAGGTCGGGTGACCTTGGATTCCAGTGAATGTCTAAAAACTTCGATATAACCTTTTGAAGGAAAAGTGCTTTCACCGTGTCCATCGTTTCTCTGGAAGTATGGACAGTGGTCACATCCTGTTGGAACCATGTGTTTTTGCTATATCGACATTCTGTTCTTACAACAGGAGCAAAAAAGGGTGTCAAACGTGTCCTTGTATCGCTTGAAATTGACTGTCAATGCATGACCGTATTCATCTTCAAAGAAATACGGCCCAATAATACCGCTAGAAGATATGGCGCACCAAACAGTCACCTTTGGACCATGTAGCTGCTACTGATGTTTCTCTTTTGG